GTTGTAGCCCTTAAGTAAAACTTCCGGGATAGCCAGAACACAAATGAACACAGGTCAGGAGCCTCCTGTGTACAACATGCTCCTCCCAAGCCTGCTCTGTGGAGCACCACCCCAAGATCTGCCTCAGGATTTCGCATGGTATTCATCTCCTGCTCTTTTCCAAAAGAACATTCTTACAGCTGAGCAAAAAGAGCATTCTCACGGCTCAATAAAGACAGGCAACCAAGGGAGGCAAGATTGTGCAGGTGTGGAAAGCCAAGGGGCAATGGACCCCTGGATTGTGGCAGAGCTGTCCTATCTGATTAGGGGATAATTGGTCTGAGCTGGGAGAGGACGAGAGGAGGTGGCAGAGGCTCAGGAGGACCACTGGGATAGACTGCTATGGAATGCCAGGCTGATGTATACTTGGGAGTACGAGTCTGGGTGTCTGTCCATCTGAGGTCAGAGCAGGAGGTGCCTCAGGCTCACTGTGGTAAGCCTGTGGAGACGGGAGCTCACCTGTGCAGTGTGGTCTACTGAGCCATTTCCCAGGCTGGAGGTGCTTGTTCGGCTAGAACGTCTGAGGATCTGGTGAGGGATGCTTAGGACTCTTATCGTCTAGGTTATCGTGGACACAAAGGAGGACATGACCCCACCCCCAAGCATGTATGTGTAGAGAACAAAAGCAGCAGGGGAAAAAGCTGGAGGCCTCACAGTTCAAAACTAGGCTGAGGTAGCAAAGGGAGTTCCCAAAATGATCTTGGGAGATAGCTGGGCAGCAAAAGGAGCAAGGGGAGGCTGTGGTGAGAAGTGGCAGGGTCCTCTGGGACTACTGGTAACCTTGCTGGGGTGTCTCCATGGGGGCGGAGAGAAGACATGACCAAGTGCATGCCTTGGCAGCGGCAGAGAGGCACCCTTCTGGGGGACCCCGGTGGGCCAGACTCGTGGGGAGCTGCACAGGAAGGTCTGTGCAGTGGGGGCCATCTGTGCAGTAGGCCTGGACCTTTGCGTGGAAAGGGTCCTTGGCCCAAGAGGAAGCAGGGTCCAGGATGGGCCATGTCCCTGAGAAGGCCGGGGCAGGCCTAGGAAGATGTCAGGAGACATCCAAGTGAGCTGCATCCAGTTGGGGCGGCTGGGAGCCCCCGGCTCCTCCCTGGGTGCTGCACCCACACCCTACTCTGTGGGCCTGGTCCCTGTGGGTGCACAGCTGCAGACAACAGATGAGCCCTCCTCTAGAGGCGAAGAGCAGGACGATGCAGAGCCCCAGGCTAGGCCTCCCACTCCTCTGCCCGCACCACCATGTGACCCTGCGGTGCCCAGGCTGCCTGCACCTCTCCTCTGGCTCAGCTGCCTTCCATGCTGCCTACTTGCTGGACAACAGGCACCCTCAGCCACCTGCCAGCACCTGCCTCTTCCCTGCCCATGGGGAACAGAAGCCCAGAGAGGCATCTTCATTGAACATATTTACTCATTGCAGATGGGTCCTCCGAGGCCACACCCCAAGCTGGATTTGAAGGGCATCTCTGAAAGGCCAAGGGCCTCCCTCAGTAGCAAGGCATCCAGGATGGCCCCAAAGCCCTTGGCATGTCCCAGTGTTTCCCAGTAGCCTGACTCTCCTGACTACTAAAAGCAGCCCTTTAAAAATCACACACAGAGACCCTGCCCCTCCTTGATAAGCCCTTAACACAGACCACCTGGGACAGATCTGTCTAGGGCAGCTCCTAGCTGTGATGAGTGTTTGTAGAAGTGGCTGCAGCCCAGGGCTCTAATTAAACCAGCGGAAGACCTATGCTCAGCGCTGCACCAAGGAGAGGAGACGTGTGTGGTGGGATTGGCTTAATGTGCATCCTACTGCTTCCCTGTGCCCTCCATGAATGGGCCCATATTCCAAGGGCTCTGTCACATTGCATTTGGGGAGGTGACGCCAAATGCCTATGGGGACCCAGCTGAGTGCTGAATCCTCCCTGGAGCACAGAGCTGAGTGCCTCCCCTACACCCACTTCTGTCCCATCCTGGGCTATTCATTGTAAAACACCTGTGGAGCGAAGTGTGGCAGTGCACTCCTGTAATCCCCAGAACTGTGGAAGCCTGAGGCAGGAGGATTGCAAGTTCAAGCCCAGCTTATGTGATTTAGTAAGACCCTGTCTCAAATTACGAGAGAACTGGGGATCCAGCTCAGTGGCATGGCCCTGGTTCAATCCCCAATAACAAAATCAGGGAGGGCACACATGCCCTTTCGGCCTGGCCCCTCTTTCCACACCCCTCCTGGCCTCAATCATAAGCTCTCTCTTTTGTAGAGCTCACAGCTGAGGGTGCAGGCTGAGAACTTGGAAGCCCCTGCAACAACTTGGCTTTGTATTTTCTTGTACCATCTTTTAGGCATTCATAGTATTCCTAGGAAGATAGGAAAATAGAAATAAAAGCAAGAGAGGTGCTTTTGCCATCAACACAAATGCATATAGCATCTTGGGGTGGTTTCCCATGCAGTAAAGTGGTTTGGGCCTTGGGCTCCTCTTCCGTTCCCTTCACCAACTGAAGCCATTGAAAACCCAGGATTAGCACAAACACATCTCTTTCATTAAGTGCTGTCTGCTTCAAAATACCAGGACTAATTCCCAAGAAAACACTGCCAGGCAGACTTTAACTTCAGTTGGTTCATGGGGAATCCCAGAATCAGAAGGGGAAGTGACTTCCCCAAGGCATAGAGCTGGGGAAGGCCCAGGCACCAAGGCCCACTGCACCTCCTAGTCCACAGCTCGAGCGGACTGCCTTAAGGTGCAGCAGAGCCCTTTCCCTTACTCCTCATGGCAGGCATAAGACGGGCCACGTCGGCCTTAGCGAGTCCACTGCAAAGATGCAAGCCCCTGAGAAAAGTAAAGATGTCGATACCAAGTTCTGCCAGGTCTGGCAGCTGGCACTTGACACTCATGTGGACGCTAACACCAGTGCCCTGTTTGCTGCACTGAGCCCAGGCCCCCGTCGGCAGCTCCCTACCTCGGCGCACTGAGCCTGCTCCTTATCCTTAGGATCCTTATCTGCATGAGTGGGTCATTTAGAGCACGGGCTGGGGCCTGATACTCCCAGCAGTAAGGATCAGACCTGGGCCTCGTCCCAGCCCAGCTGCTCAGCGCGCACCAGTGTGACCCCCAGGCAGCATCACCCAGGTCACACAGCTGTGCTGATGCTTCAGCGAAGCACACGGGAAGTACGCAGGGCAAAGCCCATGCACAGGGTAGACGAGAGGAGGTGTGCCATGGTGACTAATCGCGTGCTCTTGGTATATTTTCAAAACAGAAAAACAGCATATGCAGTTTCCCCTAAAGCATCAGTAGCCGCGGCGTCAGCAATAGATTCAGGATGAGGTGTTTTGGTGGTTAAGCCTGGCCTAGCCCAGCCAGGCGTAGACGCTGTCTGCTCTGTGCAGCTGACGCAGGGCTGGGAACACCATTCACAGATATTCTTCTGGGTCTGTGAGAGAGTATATGTGCTTACTTACAGTGTGTGTGTGTGTGTGTGTGTGCGCGCGCGCGTGCGTTCATGCATGTGGTGGGACTGCACATGCATGTGTGTCCTATGTGCATATGATGTGCTTGTCCATGGTGCATGTTGATGGTCATAATAGCAAGACGCTGCTCATGAATTCACTGTTCAGACTGACCACATACTAATAGGCTTCTGTATTTGCTTCAGACTTCACTCCAAGGAACCAGATGTCATGGCATGAATGAGCCCAGCCCTCAGTGCCTAGCACCCTGCCTCTGCTCCCTGCTCCCCCATGGGAGAGGCTGACAGGCGGGCACAGATGTGTTGATCAGGCAGTCCACTGCTGCACACAGGCCACGCTCAGTTAGCCCACCAAGAGGACAGATGTCCTCGCGGGAGGGAAGAGAGTGCTGCCCCTTGACTTCTAATCCTGTGTGCTTGAAGTGTTTAGACAGGCATTGTAAACATGTCAGGGGTGCTGATGAGTGGGGCCACAGTTTACATGGAGCCTAGACAGACGTAAACACAGATCACAGGCCTGGCCAGGGGCCGGAGTCTGGCGCGCTCTCCCTGGAGCCGCATCCCTCACATTCTGTGGTCCCTTATCTGCAGAATCAAGGAAACTGAGTCTCGGAGCAGGGAGATGAACTGTCCTGCAACCCCGTGTGGATAACAGCAGGCCCGAATAGGGAAGTGGGCAGGAAAGGAGGAAAGCAGGATGGGGGACAGACACAGAGATGGAACATGTGCAGCTCCCTCCAGCACCCACCCCACTTGGCCCAATGCCTTCTCTGCTGCCCAGTATGAAATGCCCAGCCCAGCCACTCCCAGCCTCCCACTCTGCCTCAATGTCCTCCCAGGGCCTGTCCCTGGTGAGCCGTGTGCTCAGCTGCCCACTCCACTGGGCCACATGCTCAGGAGAAGAGCCAGAGCTAAGCCAGCACACTTGTGACCTCTCCCAGCCTGGCACAGTCAGCCTAGACGGAGGATCCATATACAATAGTGCATTCATTTTTGTTTTGCTTGTTTTGATACTGGGACTCAAACTCAGGACCTTGTCCTTGCCAGGTGGGTGCTTGTGCCGCTGAGCTATATCCCTGGCTGGTGCGTTCATATTTTGAATGACTGAATCAGTTGATGAAGCTGAATGGAGCTGGGCTCACCCAGACTGTAGACACACAGGAGCTGTTCAGAGCAGCCCAGGTAGAGCCAGTGAGGCCAGCTGTGTGGTGTGCTGGCAGGTGGCAGTGATGGCCAGCACTGACCACATGAGGTGATTCTGGGGGATTTATTGCATGCACCTTCTATGCATGGCCTTCTGGGGAAGATGCCTTTGTTTCCACATGGACACTGGAAGGCACAGAGGGGCACGGCCATTGCTCTCAGGTCATAGAGCCTAAAGAAGGCAGAGCTGGTGTTCAACTCCAGGCAGTGTGGTCCCAGCACCCAGGAGCTCAATGCCATGTTCTACCACTTCTCAGAGAGGAAATTCTACAACAATTCTTGGGTTGAACTTATCATGGTTTTTGTGTTTATAGAGATTTGAGGAAAGTCAAGGTCGGACCGAGAGCAAAACAGCCTTTTACCAGGCACTGCAGAACTCGCTTGGTGGCGAAGACTCAGATGCCAATGTCCTGGCTGCAGCCACATGGTACTACTCCCTGGAGCACTCTGCGGACGACTATGCCTCCTTCTCCCGTGCACTAGAGAATGCCACCCGGTGAGCTGGCCAGGGGCATGGACCAGTCAATGTGCGGTGGTGAAAGAGGCAAAGGGCCTCAGGCTTTGGCCTTGTGGTGTCCTCTCACCTTCATTCCAGCCACAGTACGGGGTGGTACCACCAAGGGCGATCCTGGGTCATATGAGTGCTCTTGCTGCTGGCCAGTGGAAAAATGGGCACCATAGCTCTTCCTGGGCATGTGGGAGCCATGGAGGGCAGACACAGAGCCTGCCACAGGTGGCCTGGCTGCAGGGTGCTGTGCGAGGCAGCAACATCCAGGCTGGCACACACCACAGAGAGCCAGCCAGAGAGGGCTTCGCTTCCTCTGCCAGCACCCACCCTCTGTCTTGCCCTTTAGTCCCACCAGGAGGGGACACACAGGCCCTGAGGCAGCTATGTGCCCATAAGATCTACAGATAAATCTACTTGCACATGGAAATTAGGGGTCTCCTTGGGGTGGTCTTGTGCCCAATGTCACAGCCCAAGTGGGAGGAGTCTTGGGCTCTGGCTGGCCATGCAGGCCCTTTGGTCATGGGGTGCTGTTTCTTATACCTGCTGCTCGGAGACCCTGTCTTGGCCTCACCCTGTGACAGCTAAAGCTGTGCCCGACCCTAGTTTCTGCTGTTCTCATACACACAGCCCTCCCAGTGCTGCTCCTGTCAGCGCTGGCCCATCTCCCTCTCCCAGAGCACTAGGAGCTCATGGAGGCAGAAACTTCATGCTCACTGTGTGCACAGTGGATAGACAAGGGCACAGGCTCAGCTAGACCAAGGCGTGAGCAGGTCACAGCCCTCTCTTCCTCCTTCTGAGGCCCTGGGGAAGCGACCTGGGTGGGGATTTGGCTCTTGGTCAACATGGACCCCGAAGTATGTTCAGCTCCCTTACAGGACTCACCGCCAGGTGGGAGGGGAGCGGTCTGTGGGAGTTAGTGTCCTAGGGGTCCTGTCTTCTGCCCCAGAGACCCATGCAGGCCTTCTGCTCTCATCGCGGGCACAGGGCCAGCGTTGCAGCTCAGATCTCAGTCACTGTTGCTGACCCGGGCTCTGTGGGGCTAGCTAAGCTGCAGATGTTTGAGGCCTGCTACCTGCATATCCTCTTCACCCAGGAGGCTGTGGTTCTGATCTGCGGTCACTAGCTCAGAATAACTATGCCACCCACATAGTTCTTAGGACCCCGAAAGCCTTTGATTTTCCCTCTAGAGGAGAGCTAGGTCTGAATCAAGCAGCCAGCAGCTACTTCCCGAGGCCCAGTCCTGGGCTGGACCATGAGAACTTGCAGGTGCCCAGTCCCTGACCTGCATAGGCTCACCATCAAGTCCACACCAGCCCTGACTGACTGCAGGAAGAGCTTAGGGCCAGAGTCAGGAAGCCAAGTTCTCGCTTCATTGGTGCCTTTGGATGGAAAGGCAACCTGCATGGGGGACAGGAGCGAAGGCCTGAAGAAGCTAGCGTGGTGGAGGGGTGTCCCCGAGGATGCAGAGGCCACTCACTCCTCCTGCGCTCGGGCCCTCTCGGTGCCGGCTAGACTAGGGCAGCGGCCTCCTGCGGCTGCCCTGCCTCCAGCCCCTGGCACGGAACCTCCCCTGGGCTGCCTCCGGCCCCTGGCACGGAACCTCCCCTGGGCTGCC